AAAAAAAAAATCTTTGAAATCCAACATATATAAATTCTTTGAAAAGTCTCAACACATATAATTATTATCTCTCATAATAACACTTTAATGTATTAAGAACAAGCATAAAAAAAAATTCTTGAAAAGTCCAACACATATGATTATTATCAAAATATTAAACTTTAATATAATATAAAAAAGGAAAAAAAGAAGAGGGAGTTTTTAACTCACATGCCTTGTGGGAGCTCCAATGTCTCAATCTTAATTTCTTAATTTTTTATTTAAAAAAATTAAAATAAAAACTCAGCATTTATTGACTTCTCCCAAGCCTTTTTGACTTCCCATACACACCCTTTTAACTCCTCCCATACCTATTTAATTATTTTGGAAATAATAATTATTTTCCCTTTTCAACTTCTCCCATACTTATTTAATTATTTTGGAAATAATAATTATCCCTTAATTTATGGATTTCAAATGGAAAAATAACAAAAATATTTCATAATCTCTCCATTTCAATTTCTCTCATCGATTTTCAAAAGAAAATATTAAAACTTGCCTTCCTTTTTTCTCCCTCAAAAAATCAAATAATATTTTTCATGAGAATTATAGATATCTATCTATATCTTATATATTATATTAAAAATAATTAAAAATCGGATATACAAACAAATAAAATTAATAAATATGATTTTTATTTATTTAGTTAAAATATTTCTTTTGCTTCTCAATATCCAATTTTAAATTTTAAAAATCTTTAAATTCTATCTAAACAAATATAATATATCTCAAACCATCATACTTTAAATCAATAAAACTCACATGTCTATCACATATCTAACTCACATCATAACTTACCTAAATAATAATAATTAAAACCAAATAGAAATCATAGATAAATTAAATTAAAAAAAAATATAAACCCACAACTCCATCTTAAATAAATTGGAAAAAAAAAATAGAAATCACACCAAAATAAAGAAGATAATAATTTAGTTCTAGATCTCAAAAAGATATGATAATATCTAAATTTGTATCATGATTTAATAATATAATTATCTATTTTTTGATATATATATCTATCAAAATTTTAAATCACTTAATTGGACAAATTAATAGAATCTTCAACCCTTAATATTTTTTTTATCGAATTATAATTTGATAAAAATTTAAAAAAGTGAAGCATTGGAAATTATTTTTTTCCATCAAAATTGATGAAAAGAAAAAAAAATGGGATAACAATAAGAGTTCTTTTAAAAGTTAATAGAAATTTAATGAAAAAGTTAAAGTAATTTATATCAAATCAATTTTGTTATTCAAATTTAAAATCAAATTAGATTTAAAAAAAATTAAAAGAAAATGATGAAAGGTTAAAAATATTCTAAAACCTTCTTATTTTTAAATATTAGAAATCCGTGTGCGTATTATATTCATATTGTATTTTTACTTATGAAATTAAAATCAAAAGAAATGTAACTTAAACTATTGAATTAATAACAGAAACATCATATCAATTATTGTTAAATGTCACTTCACTTCACATTTAATAATAAAATTAAATATTTCTCTTAATTATAACTTTTAAATTTGCACATTTTCATAACAAGAAGAGGTATATCATAACTAATGTAACCTCATTTAATTAGGTTTAACTTCTTCTTCTTCTTCTTTTTAGTATTACAAATTATCAAAATTACACTAAATAGATTTATATATATATTTTTTTAAAATTTTTAAACTAATAATTTAAAAAGTTATAAACATAAAAATTAGCTTATTTATTTCATATATACCACAAGATAAAATATTAAATTATTTTAACATATTTATAATAATTTTTTTTTTTAATTTATAAAGTCTCATACATAGCATAGGTTACCACTATTATTGCTAATACAAAAGGAACAAATACGTAATTGACCATTAATCATAGCAAAACAATGTTGACCCTCGACAAAATAGATGGGTAAAAGTAGCACACAAAAAAGCAACCCATTTTATAGAGGAAGTGCTTCTTATGGTAATGTAGACTAGAAGGGTTCACATGTAACATATTATTAATTAAATTGAAAGTAATTCTGTAAATTTAATTTTTTAAATTTGAAATTATTATGGCCGTTAAACTGCTGTGAAGAACATGTGCAGGTGTAGAAATTTATTTATTTATTATTATTATTTAATTTACACGTGATAGAAATTTTAAGAGATCAAATTTAGACCTCATTTAATATAATAATATAGATATAAGGATGAATTACACTAATAGTCCCTATAGTTTGGGGCTTGTATCACTTTGGTCCATGACTTTTCAATTGTGACACATTTGACCCTGAATTTTAAATCTTGTTCCAAATAAGAACAATTGAAGATATCATTAGATTTTTCAAGGGTAAAATCTTCAATTTGATAAAATATAAACTATTTTGACAAAAATAAATGTCAAACAAATATTTTTAAATTTTTTTAAAAAAAATTCTACTCACTAAAAATAAAATTATATAAAATTGATAAATCTTTTAGACATTTATTTATTTTTTTACGAAATTAATTTTTATTATGTGTTTGGATGATGATCATCAAAATTTAATTTTTAAAAATTAATCATGTAATTTTTATTAATTTTAATTAATTTTACATAATTTTATCATTAGTGGATAAAAATAATTTTTAAAAAATTAAAAATATTTTTTTGACATTTATTTTTATCAAATTAGTTTAGATTTTATTAAATTGACGATTTTGCCCTTGAAATTAAATAATTATATCTTCAATTATCCTTATTTGAAATAAGATTCAAAATTCAAAGTCAAATGTGTCATAATTAAAAAGTCAGAGATTAAAATGACACGAGTCCTAAACTAGAGACTGTTAGCGTAATTTACCCTAAATATAAAACATTAGGTTATGCAGGGTTTCAAAACCATTGAGCACTGGTTTATATACATACTAGAAAAAAAATGTCCATGCAAGGCACATAATACTTCACAAATATAATAATTTTTATAGTAAATTTAAATTTCACAACTATAATATTTTTAGTTTTACTGAAGATAATATTTAGTTTATTACAAAATAGATAACATCGTTTTATAAAATTATGGGTGTGTTTGGTTTATATTTTGAGATAAATTCTCAAAAAAAAAAAATTGAAGAAAGAGTTTAGAATTTTTTTTAATTTCTGTGGTTGTATATTTTGAAAATAGCTTTGGAGTTTGGGAGTTTGGGATGATTTATTTTGTTGTAATTGAGTAGATGTGTGTGAGAGAAAAAGAGATTGAGAAGGAGAGATGAGAGAGAAAAAGTGATTGATTGATGTGTATAAGAGAGAAGATGATTTTAGAAATTTTTTCTCAAAATTGTATCTTGAATAAATTTTTAATTTTGTCAATTTAAATTCTATTTTTTTATTTATTTTTGATATAAACCATATGTGTTAAGTAAAACGGATTTCAATCATTAAACTTAATCTAGGTGCATAAAAAAAATATATATAAAATACTATTTTTATTAAGTTTAATAATTAAAATAATATTATTTTTGTCAATTTTACATCTTGAAAATAGATAGATAGTTTAGATTAAAAATAAATAAAAAAATTAGGGTTTAAATTGACAAAATTAAAATTTTAAAGTTTATTTTATTATAAGGGTCAAACCTTTGAATTTTTTTTTTTATAATTTTCCCTAATAATTATTATATTACATCTCGCTTTTATTCCAATAAACCAAACATTACTCAATATTATTTTTAAAAAATTATATAAAAGAAAAAATTTTAACAAACCAAAATTTATACAGAAAAAAATATTTATAATGAAGTGTCAATGAAGTTTTTGAAATTATGAAGACAATGATAAATTGTATTTTGCTTGAAAATAAAATAACCAAAAGAAGTTATATTATTCTATATATAAATTTGTATAAACATCTATTGGGGAAAATGGTAGGAAAAAAAAAAAAAAAAACCTAGTGTTTGATTTGGACCATGTAACAAAATAAATTCTAAATTTTTAATTTTATCAATTTAAATTTTAAAATTTTTATTTATTTTCAATCTAAATCATTTGCCTATTTTTGTTAAATAAAATAGACGAAAAAAAATTATATTTAGTCATTAAATTCAATATAAGTGTATAGAAAATATCTAAAATATAATTTTTGTTGAATTTAATGACTAAAATATATATTTATTTTTTTATTTTATTTAACAAAAATTGGCAAATGTTTGAATTGAAAGCAAATCAAAAATTTAAGATTTAAATTGACAAAATTAAAAATTTAGAATTTAATTTGTTACAGGGTTCAAAACTCTAGTTTGTTTGTTTTGTTTTTTTTTTGGTAATTTTCCCAATTCTATAATATCATTACTCTTAAATAAGAATAGGAGATTATTGCATTATGTTTGATTAGGATGCAATAAAAATATTTAATTATTTTTTACTATTAATTGAATAAAAAAGGAAAATAATTTGAAGTGGCATAAGAGTATCTTCAACAAATATTTTATTTTTTATGTGAGCCTAAGTAACAATATTTGACATTTTTATTCTTTAAACACTATCATAAAATTCTTATTTGCTTAAGTAACATTTGTTATTGTCCTATCCAACACTCTCTGAAAGTTTACCAAAAAATAAAAAATTTACAACCGTAATACAAAGTTCTAATTGTTGAAAAAATATTTCTCATTTTTTTAATTTTTCAAATTAGTTGAAAAAATGCAATAAATTATACTAAAATTGCAATCAAACACAATTAGTGAATTTTTTTTATTAAATAATTGATTTATAAGTGTTATAAAAAAGAGACAAAAATTATAAACAAAATATTAAAATTATAAAATTGTCCAAAAAAAAAAAAAAAAAAAGTCAAGAGCAAAAAGGGAAAGGAAAAAAGAAAGCCACAAACACTATATAGTGTATAGATAAGATTGGGTTAGGCAGGCTTTCAAAACCATTATCAAGATCAAGAATACTGAATTTGTGGATTACCTACCATAGCAACATACCATCCCCACCTTCCATGGAAAACACTCAAGGAAGGGAAAGCAATCCAATCATCAGAGACAAAGAAGAAGAAGAAGATGGCCATGACAATCCACTAGCATTGCTTCCCAAAGAGAAGGGATGGATAGGTCTGGATCTCTATCTCTACCAAGGCTTTTGGTGCCCCTCAATGGAAATTCAGCGAGTAATGTCTTTCCAACAACACTTCAAAGCTCAGGACACCGACCTCATACTCGCCACCATGCCCAAATCAGGCACCACCTGGTTGAAGGCCTTGACATTCGCTATCGCCAACCGTCATCGCTACACCAACACGCTTTCCCAACACCCCCTTCTCACTTCCAACCCTCACGACCTCATCCCTTTTCACGAGATCAATCTCTCTGCTAATAAAGACGGCCATCAAGACAGTCATATTCTAAACCTCTCCAACTTTCAGTCTAGCATTTTCTCCACCCATATGCCATACCATTCATTACCTGACTCAATCAAGACCTCTAATTGTCGCGTTGTTTATCTCTGTCGCAATCCCTACGACGCCTTTGTCTCCGCCTGGCATTTCTTGTCTAAGCCTAGACCAGAGAGCCTTGAGCCTCTATCGTGTATTGATGCTTTTGACATGTATTGTAGGGGTGTCATCGGTTTTGGGCCCTTCTGGGACAATGTATTGGGGTACTGGAAGGAGAGCCTGAAGAGGCCTCAAAAGGTGCTGTTTTTGATGTACGAGGACTTGAAAGAAGATATTATTTTTCAGATGAAGAGGCTAGCAGAGTTTATGAGCGTTCCGTTCTCTTTAGAGGAAGAGAGTGAAGGTGTGATAGAAGAGATATCAAGGTTGTGCAACTTTAACAATATGAGAGAGTTGGAGGTGAACAAAACTGGTAAATCCATTAGACACTTTGAGAATAAGACGTTCTTCAGGAGAGGTGAAGTGGGTGATTGGATCAATCATTTTACACTTGAGATGGTGGAATGCTTGAACAAGGTCATTGAAGAAAAGTTGGGTGGTTCTGGGTTAGCATTCAAGACTAGTTTGTGAAAATTTACTATGTTTGTTTCGTTGGACAAGATTACCGAAACTAGTAAGTCTTGGAATTCCATCTTATCTCATGTTTGTTAGAAATGGTCTCTAGGGTTTGGGCTGCTATTTGTCATACTTAGTGCCGGTTGTGATATGTTGTAGTTTTGTTTCTTTGGTCTTTAGGTTTATATTTTCTGACTTTGTAAGAGGACTTCTTATTCTCCCTTTGTTATCATCTTTGTTTCAATAAAATTGTTTGTTTGTTGCTCAAAAAAAAAAAAAAAAAAAAATAAAAAAAAAAAAAAAAAAAAAAACTATAATTTGAGAATATTTTAGTTTTTCAACTCCCTAATCTGGACCCCCTTAATTCTTCCATTTTGTATCTCATCCCCTCCTATAAGACTCAACAGTGGCCTATATGGAGGATATACAGTCCAAAAGGGACTGTCAATCTAGAGGTCCACTTTAATAGATAAATATAAAATTCAAGATCAAGCAAGATATATAATCCAATCCCATGCATTAATCCCCCCACAACCAATATGTAACAAGGATGAATGGACTTACTCTCTAGTTTCAAAAACTAATTGTTCAAAACATAATTTATAATTTCAATCCAAAAAATTTCCAATAAGTTTATACTTGACCTTAGTCTTATGCAAGTCTCCAAAAAATAGTTACTTCAGCAGGTCTAAACTTACATGACTCCCAGTCTATTTGTGCTTCTAATTTATCGTAAAAAATATCCAAACATCATCTTATGTGTTACCATTTCATTGGTTTAATAGGCTCCACCACTCACAATTGTTACCAATGCAGTGAAGGTACATGTAATCACCATCATAACAATATTGGTATGTTTAACAACTTAAAACCGGTATTTTCTATCTGATAGCTACTTTGATCTTTCTATGTGTGTAACAAAAAACCTCCTCCCCTACCCACACCAGGGGAGAAATTCGAGTCTCACCGCTGCAAATGCAGCTTCCCCGTCCCTTATTTCTCTCCTATCAATTATTAGAAAAATACATCATAAAACATGTGAGTAATTTTTATTTTTGTTTCCAATTCAAAAGGTGGGCAAAAATCTAATTAAATTAGATTCCAAGATTTTTATTCAACCAATTTCAGTGAGGTTCATTTTAATTTCAGTGTGTGCTAAAAAAAAACGTGTATTATTTAAATTTTACGGCAAGACAAAAATACTTGTTTCTCAAAAACATTATATACAATATTAATAAACATACAGCAAAATGAGGAAAAATTCACTAGAAACTTTAAACAGAACTCGCCAGCTTTTATCATATTCCAACAGCGTCAAGAAGCTCCGAGTGTTGAGACACAGAAACCAATGAATTTGCAACAACAGCGCCACTAGCCGCAACTGCTGGGACTCCGATACCAGGGAATGTAGAATCACCGCAGCAGCAAAGCTGTGGGAACGGAGTTGAATGTCTAGGAAAAGTGCCTTTACCGGCCTGTATAGCTGGCCCATAAGTTCCTCTATTCCTCCGAAGAAACCTTTGATGTGTCAAGGGGGTTCCAACCAACTTCACTTCACACTTCTCATGATCAAAACCTGGACCAACAGCACACTCCACGGCCCTCCACAGGACCTGGATTGGTAAGGAATAATAAGAACTGCTTTAATAGGAAAAATAATTATCTTGTTTCATACACTAAATAAAGATTATCCGGAAATAATCTGATGGCACATGAGCATTTGAGAATTTCAAAGAATAAAGGAGAACAATCAGGGATATTAGCAAGGCAGCTAATAGGAAACTCAAAAATTAAGTCAACAACATTCCAAGAATACACAGAAATATGAACTTCTGACTCCAAAATTATATGCAATTTTGACCATTTTTTAAAGAGAAACTAAAAGACATGCTGGTTCAAATATTGTCACATCATACATGGTAAAATCAAGTTACTTCAATTATTGGAAAAATTATGTACACCTTGAAACTTTTTTAAGAAGTTCCACCATAGGTAAAAATCCAAAGAATGCCAAAACTTATGAAGGTTGTACACAATGCACAAGGCTCCCACTTACAATAGGGTTGGGGAGAGATAGTAAGTAGGCAGCTTTCCCTCCACATTTTTGTGGAGAGGCTGATTCACGTGACTCAACCCCATGCCATAGCACACGGAGCAGATAACACTTGTCATTGCTCTAGCTCACAACCTCCAATGCCAAAATTTATGCATACCATATATATTGTTCTTAAACTTGACAATTAACTAGAATACATTGGGTCTAATTGAACAAATCAAGCTTTAAGATGCAAAAAAAAAACCTAATCAGCAAAAAACATGTAAAACTCCCTCAACCTCAATCCCATAGTAAAATTCTAAATGGACTGTCATTAAAATGTTCCATAATAAGTTAGCTGAACTTGCTCTATTATTCCTTCTGATAATGTTGAATTTCACGGCTTTCAATTAGTGCATTTGTCATGAATGACAACATAAGAAAAGCCAATGACAAAAGTTTCCAGGAAGCATACCTCAGATCTTTTAGCTTCGAGTTCTTTGTATTCAGCAGTTTTACGATCAAGTCCTTCCCAGAGTCCAAACGGTTTAGTTCCTGGCATATAGGCATGTAACACATGTTTCCCAGGGGGTGCAAGATCTGGACTAAGCACACTGGGTATAGATATCAAAACAACATTTTGATCAGTATCGACTCCTCTCTCCCAATCATTCACAACTATATGATGAATCTTCAAATCCTCGCTTATACCCTAATAAATAAAACATATGTTAGATGTATTTATTCAGATTTAGGAAAACATCATCCAAAGCAGTGGCAGATGAAGCCTAGTTAAAAGATTACCAACATTGAGAAAAAGTCGTCATGCCACAAATGTTAACGATTGAAGAGAGCACAAAGCTAACATTATGTAACATATCCCACAGAATAGGCAACAATCTATTTAATTTGTTTATGTAACAATAATTTCTTAGCGTTACCACTTTGTGATTTCAGTTTCTCCAAATGGTGATTCAATTCTACTATTTTTCAACTCGTCTCAGCGATATTAGAAAAAATAAAAAATAAAAAAATCTCTCTTTAAAGAGTTAAGATTGACTTAAGTACATTGTGCATTATCACCAATAGATGATGCATTTTTAGCAAGCCTCACCCAAGCCCTCACATTCACCCGTGGGAAACTTTTTAATACAGTTGGTAAACAAGGATCGGTTGTTTAGCAAGGTACAGAATGTATCGTCAAATATTCAAATAATTCCACAAAATCTAGTTTCATTCAAGTAACGGTTTCTAACCAATTCAAAGGATCTTCTGATCAATCCAGAGATCATTTGGATTCCATTAGTAATGAGGATTCAGGACATCACACATTGATCAATCATATCATATATATAATAAATTTACAAAGTTGATAGCAAAAGTAATCATAGGTTACAGGAAACCTTCTGTTGACTACAAATGTAGAGCAAACCAAACCCAAGAAGCCCATGAAATGAGCAGACATGGAAATTAGGATATTGCACAGGAAAAGGATAGAGGCAATAGAAAAATATATCACAAGCACCTGATTCATGAGAAATTGATGACGGCAGCAGCAACAACACAACAACAATAAGAGTAGATAATTTTGGTCAAGATGGTTTATGTTAAACGACCCAGTGACAGTAAAATGCTTGATCTCTCACATCCTTCCCCAAGACCTTGGTGTGAGAAACTTGAACCCAAAGGATAATAGGACTTGAACTTAGATTTGTCTAACATGATATCAAAGCTTTGATCCTATAAGGTATTAGATTATTTGGAAAGACTTGAACCCGAGACCTAATAGGATCAAAGCTACCCAAAAAAGTTAAAGCTATTTAGGATTTGGGCCAAAAAACACGTATCAAGCCATTGTACCCTCCCTCACACGAGACCCCCTTCTCATATGTCAACAAACAGATGAACCAAATAGGTTGCAAATGTACTAACATACAAACAAGGTGCAAACAGTAAAAATATAATAGATGCTAAGCGAAAAGCGTAATGGTGGAAAAAATAAACACACAGAGACTTGAACCCAAGTCCTACCAAAACTAATGCTTTGATGCTATGTTAGGCAATCATCTCCCCTAAATGCTCAGTTTAACCACTTGTCCACTGAATAGAGATCAACATGGTTCATGTTGAACACGGACGTGAAAAATATTTTCTAAGGCAGTGAAATAAGACTTGATGGCCTACATAACAGAAACTAACCCACAAACAGTGCAATGGCCAACCAGAACTTTCGCATCTGATATTGAACAATTGGAAAAATAAAAAAAAATTTGCTGACATGAGAATATGTACAAAATAAATCTGTGAAACATCCTCCTCAGATCTAGAATTATAATGGATTCTGTAAAGAAGCACCTCACTTAGTGAACAAAAAGCTTCTTCCCTCCCCCCCCCCAATAATCATAAGCAAGGCTGGGTGTTACAATCACTCACCTCTGCATCAAAACCCAAATGAAGATGCATAAATGATTCACATTGAGGGGTCATTTTGATCCTGTTTGGAATGACTTCCTTAGGTAATAGATCCAATGTGTCCCCATAGAGGCATTACTAACAACAGCCTTCTTAGCGCGTACAAACTGCAGCAAATATTTATTTTTATCAATTAATGAATAAGAAAGAAATATAATTCAATCTGAATGAGAAATTCTGTATTTTTGTCACTTAAATCATTTACTCACTTGACCACTTCTTAGCTTTACTCCCACAGCTCGACCATTTTCAACAACAATAATTTCCACATGACTCTTGAAAGAGATCCGTCCCCAAATTTCTGTAGTCCACGGACAAGAGCATCAACAACTGCCCCAGTTCCATGAATGGGATACTCCAGACTGCAACCTGGCTTGTACCATTCTGCAAACATGTATACCTGAAAAGATTGAAGCACAAAATTATTTGTTATCAATAAAATACGCAGCACAAGCATACTTATATTTCATAATCATACCACAGTTCAAACAAAAACAAGAAAAAACCT